ACCTACCAAAAGAGGATGAAACCTCAGTCAATCCTAAACTAATCTAATTTTTTGCAGATATTCTCTCAGTTTAATTACAGAATGAGTAATGTTTAACTATCCTTCTAGGTTACAAATGAAGAGTTCCTCAAATTTTATTCTGTGTATATAAATAACACATGTGACAATTTAAAACTCTTACAAATATTTTTTTTCCAATATAAATATGCTGATAACAGACATAGTCCCAAAATGAGAACAATGTTTGTTTGGATTTCTGAGACAAAGGAGATGTGTTATTACTATGTAATGTGTTTTTCTTTTCAGAATAGAAACACAAATCAGATTATTTTAGATAATACTACAAGAAGAACTTGTCTCAGTGCATTAAAAGCAGGAATGAAATAATCTTAAAGAATTATTTGAAACTATTTGATATGAAAAAACTGTAGTTAGTGGATTTCAGTTTGCAGCCTTTCTTTCCAGGGGTCTATGGACTATTTAAAGAGGGGATCCACAAAATATTAGTTATGAAAAACAGTGTAGGGTAAGGACAAAATATTTGGGTTTATTTGCATTAAGATCTGGCAAAGGAAGAAACACTTGAACACTGTTGCCTTCCTTCAGAGGAAACAACAATTTTTCATAAATGGGCTTAAGAAATTACTAAAAAAGAAACAAAAAATTTAAAATGCAGTTTCCCTCCTCTCTAAAGAAAACCAAGGGTTTACATCATAGCCAGGAGATTATGAATTGTATGGAGACTGATACTGGGAGGCAGAATCCTTAATTTCTTTAAGATGTGTTTAAGAAAATTAAACCCAGGCCTTTTTGCACTGGTTGAAGGTGATGCTTTCCTCTATGAAACAGGGAAGTCACTAAAATAAAATGATTGTCAAGTTCCAACCCAATGGTCTAGGCAGAGAAAGGGGAGGAAAAATGCTGCCTATATTTGTGAATGGAGCTATAACTTGTCTATCTGTGATATTTTAAACTTTGATACTTGTAGATATAAATAAATTAATCTACTCCCACAATTTACATTACCAAATACACATACCTATTGTTTAGACACAAAAGTGAAATCTATCACTTATGAGCTTTAGAGTCATAGGCTGAGCTGAACTTACAGTTACATTCCTCTCACACAAGTGATGCCTCC